TGCAAGAAATAATCCCCTTTGAAATAGTGGAGAATGTTTGTAGCTCAGGTGGATGGGCTTGGTTATATTGTGTTACCTGAGCTGGGTTGTTTAATCGTGAAGCTTTCATCGTCCTTTTAGACGACATCATCAACACAAACTTCAGGATGATCCCCTTTATTGTTCTTCAGCATGAGATTCCATGGATATGCCTAAAATTGACTTTTAATTCACTGTTTACTTCTGTGGCGAAACTAACAGCTTTTTAAGTTGGTTTGCTTGAAATTGAAGACTACGACAGACATCAACAAGTGTCACAACATCTTTTACTCTTTGTCGATCCACTGACATAACTATTAATCGGTGTTCAGCCAAGAAGCGTGCATTTTGCCACAGAAATCTTGCTTAACCTAAATCAGTGTTCTTCAGAAGCTAGGTATTGAAACTCCAGACTCCATCAAGATGAATTATACAGAGTCACCAAGTCGGTCTAAAAAGATATGGTATCGGAAACTGTGATATACGCTTTTTCAATACTTTCAAGCTCCCCATACCGTGGGAGCCAATGCTTATCTGAGGTAGGTGAAATGGAAGGCGGGTTAGCCATACATGAATGAAAAGGTCATATAAGGTCAACTTCATGCTGTTTTGCAAGAGGTTGTGTTGGTGTTCAAATTCGTAGAGCTGCATCCATCCCCAAAAAACTCTATCACCATGGATCAAAACAGAGTGGATATTTTCAAAAGGTGTCAGAGCCTAAGTGATGGCTATCCGAGGGAAACACCTTCCTTTCAACACTCTCACATCCAGTCAGTTGCCTGACTTCTCTCTCAGATACTGTGGCACTGGCTGCCGTTTTGATAAAATATGACTTAAGAGAACAAGTTTCTTGGTCATTATGGCTCTTTGGAGCATTACGATATACAAACCTGATCGCCACACTACGATATTAGTTGTCGGTGGAACAAAGACAGAACTACTTATCTATATACAAGTCCAATTGCAGCTTATGGAACTTGGTGAATTTAGTCTCAATTAAGTGCTGTATAACTTCCACTAAAAAAATATTCAACGTTGACTCAATTTAAAGATTGCTCCTTTCACTGGTACAAAAAATGAATCAACCTTGCTAATTTACCTTTGTAGGAGGAGGGGTGTGACATTATTTTTGACGATATCAGCTTACATAAATGATGATCGTGAGCTTTTGCTATAATAACTCATTGAAGATGATTTCTTTCAGTTGATAAATAGTTTAACCACTAGATGAAATTCTATTCAGCTCGTTACTTAGCTACTGTGTTGTCAGTATATGCTTAGAATCTATCCAATGACAGGTTTTACCATTTACCGACAAAAAAATCTCTAGTTTGGTACATACACTTGAAATGTGAGATTTGACTGCTAATCACATCTAGTTTTCACTTCTATATGATAAAGTATTTATTTCAACGATCACCTTTTTAAATAGAGTGAATAAATCGGTGGCTAAGATTCCATTATTTGGAATGGAATTTGAGGATAAAATTCTTAAAGGATTATTTATTGAAAATGATGAATAGGGGTTATGTATTATCACTTTCAAACCAAAATAACCGAAAATATCGAAACATCCTAACAGGAGCCCATATACCAGTTAGGGCTGATCAGTTCGACCAATTCAAAGACGGTAAATTACGTGGCATGGTGTACTTTAGTAAGTGTCTATAAAGTATATTAAAGATTCTTCTCTTCATTTTCAGTAGTTAACCTCTTCTATTGTATTTCAGTGCTATACACCAGTGTAAGCAAGGCTTTCTGTTCGCAGAATGCCCCATCTGAAATAGTAATCAATAAAAATCCAAGTGTAGCTAACGCTTATTGTGCCAAGTATGGAAATAAACTTACTAACTAAGATAAAAAGACCCTTCTCAATCTGAATGTCCACTGTTGAAACATATTGACAGTTGAATATGTACCAGGAAAGGTGGATTGTTTTCTAAAGTTGACTATGTCAGATGGGGGAGCCAATCATCAATAGCAGTGCTCCACCTATGTTTCCTGCTTATTGAGATTCTTCAGTAAGGTACATCTGCAACCTAGAGGGAACTGATGTCTTCTGTGAGATTCAAAACCACTTCACCCAGTGCTGTAGTCACAGACCTTATCATTGAGGTTTTCAGACTGTGACTGACCGCCTGTGGGAGTGATCTAGATACACTGATTGGTCACCGAAAAGTAACTAATTTCATCTTGTCTAGTCCTCAGTGCTGATCGGATTCGATTCATCTCTATTTTGCAATACGGCCACCAGGTTAGGAGGCTCACCATCCCTATTCACTTTTGATGGATTTTTGTTGGTTGAAGTCAGTCGACAGGAAGTCATGCCCACCTAGTTTTCATGCTTGTTGGAACTCGTCAGCAAAGCCCATCTGCAGCCTGTAGGGAAGTGATGTTCCCTGTGAGAGATTTGAACTAGTGCCACCCAGTACTGAAGACAGAGACAATATCACCGAGCTATTCAAACTGTGAATGACCTCCTGTAGGACTGTATTGAATATGTTGATCAGTCTTTGGGCAGCAATCATTTTCACCCTGTCTGGTTCTGAGTACTGACCATATTTTATCAATTAATTAGCAGTGTATCCACCAAGCTAGGTCACTCAGCACCATCGTGTTGATGAGTTCCAACAAGCATGAAACTTAGGTTCAGGACTTCCTCCCAACCGCTTACAACCATCTAACGTCACTCAAAGTGCAGCTTGGCGTTGAGTCCCCCAGCCAATGACTTTAAAAATTGATTGATACAATTAAACACTCAACACCACGCAACATGAAAGCGGTTAATCTCCAGTGAACAATCAATGCACCCATAGTCCTTTCATCAGTTAACTGTCAAGAAGAAATGGGAAGCTAATATAAAATCTTATTTTTAGCCATACCAAGTTGTAAACTCCACTTTCATATAGTCTTTGCTAGCTGCAAATATCTTCCTTTATTCAGCCTTTTAATTTTGTATGTGTTTAAACGAATAAATTATGTTCGTGACTATGAAGGGTTGTGCATTCGAGATGTGTTACAGTGGAAGTTGACGAAGAACAGTTACTCAGAACTGCCATTCAGCCTAGTGTCTGTTTTGTTCAATTTATAGGTCAACTCTTCTACACAAGCATTAATCTCATCCTTTGTTTCACACAATACAAAGATTTTCAGAGAACTACAAGAAAAAGAAAATTAAGTGAGATGATAGTTTGTTGTGCATGTTCACTATGCATGTGCATTTCATGGAACGGAAGCAAATGCTCCTCATGAAAAGTGTTCTAAGTCATCCCCACAAACAATAATCATTTTACGACGTTCTATAAATATCACCATTCCAATCATTTTATTCAGCATGACAGATAATGTGATGTGTAGGAAAAAATAATCAGACAGCAGGAAATTAGTTTTCACTGAAAGTCGGAGTCAGTTGACAATTCAGTGAAAACCTGGAGGTACCGTAAATAAGTTTCATCACATGAAAGGTTTCATAGAGAACCTTGGACTTTGTGCTGTTTGATGTGAGTAACTGATACTCTCACTTACCATTGAGTGGCTAATCAATCCAAAGTAGACTATGGAATACCCCAGTTTCTCCGTTAGCCAAATTTGTCTGGAGAAATTGAAACTTACTCTAAATCAAGTGAGCAATGTTGAAGTTGGCTGTTTGATGACAATGAAAGGTAAATCTTAATGTCGGATAAAATTAGTTGAATTTGCTGAGTGTTGGTCACTGAGCTCCAGCCAATTAATTACCTGTCAACTTTCCCCCACCCCACTTCTGATGGGTTAAAAAACGCATAAAATGAATGAAGCATTTCCAAACTACTCACAAACAATGCAGTTCACGTTGAGTTGTTTGTCAGCTGTTCACTTGTGGTACCAACATAATTTCCTTTGACAACAATCCAGTTAAATAGATGATGTGTTTATTTGTTTGTGATGACAATGGTAACCTCGAAAATTTGCTTTAAAACTTTCAATAGTTTCCATCCTTTGTTTATCTTAAGTCTACAAACAGATTCAAACCTGAAATGGACAGTTTATCAAATTCCAAAGTGTGTCACCTCATCCATTCACTTTCTATACGAATAAGAAAAATTTGTGTGACGGATTCTATCATTGATCAAGTGAAAAAAAATGTGAGAAATTCTGGGAAAAAATATTCACCCATAGAAATTTGAAAAGCTATCGTAGAACGCTTATATATCACTCTGAGACGGATTTTATCACTGAACCTCGGATTCAGGTGTCATAATGCACCAGATATCTCTAGGAAGAGACTATCAAGATCAATAAGTAGGATATTTTTTTGGCTATTAATCTTAGAACCATATTTTCATATCAGGAACTTATTCGTCAGTACCCAACGAATAATCTGCAGCGTTGGGTCACATCACCTTATGTGTATCACCCTACTTGTTCCTATGAGCTCAGGTATACCGACTGTACCATCCGCCAGCTTGTGAAACATATTCGTGAACAGTATCCAGCTTCGCTGACAAGAAGGCGATGGAAATGTATCTTCACGTGTATAACTCGAATCTCCCACAGGGGATATGAATTCCTTGCAGGTTGCAAATGTGCCTTGCTGACGAGTTCCAACAAGCATGAAAACTAGGTGGGCATGACTTCCTGTCGACTGACTTCAACCAACAAAAATCCATCAAAAGTGAATAGGGATGGTGAGCCTCCTAACCTGGTGGCCGTATTGCAAAATAGAGATGAATCGAATCCGATCAGCACTGAGGACTAGACAAGATGAAATTAGCTACTCTTAAGTGACCAATGACTGTAGACAGTGCTCATCATTATTCAGGATGTTTGCAGAAAGGCTCACTTTTCTAATAAACGTGACGTCCTTATCTCTACCATGAGTCTTGGAATAGGTCGAAACAAGTATTTTCAACTCTGGGATTTTCAGTGGTTGTTTGAATCATTTTCATTGCAGTATAAGTCATCCTAGAAACTGTTGTGTTTTCTTCTTATTTCTTTTTCGACAGTGTCTAATGTTACGAAGGCGAATGCCGTAGTACATGGAATAATTGCAGGCCTACCAATACCATTCACCCTACCCAATCCTAATGTTTGTGATTTTGTCAGCCCATCGTGTCCACTGAAGTCCACTGAAGGAAAGTACACTTATAAGTATGCAATGCTGACTTCCAATGAATATCCCCCGGTAAGAATTTTATCTTTTCGCTCTGCATTTGTAACTAACTATACTGTGAAATTCACATGTAGATTCACAAATGAGGGATTCAACTCAGCCCGTTAGCTATGTGGTCAATCAGCACTGGCTGTTGGCTTTCTGTGGATGAGAATTCACAACGGTCCCCGTTTATTGACCTTAGTTGATTCTACTGGGATTCAGACATGGGTTTCTCTTATAACAGCAACCCAGGTATGACGTTATTTGATGATGCAAAGTTTGAGACACGCAGTTAGCTTCATCTGGAAATCATCACCTTGGTGTACCTGAATATTGATGTCTTTACACTGTATTTAAGAGGAGCATTTCATAAACTACTAACGTTCTGTGTAACAGACAAGTGACCTATGGTAGTTACCTCCTCCCCGGTACGCATTTATGTTCAGACAGCCGACCGTCTCTCTAGATATTCTCTTACACTGACATGACGTACAGTCCTATACTTGAACTGGTCGCTAAACACCCTTGTGACTGCACCAGTGGCCGCAATGGAACACTTCAAGAGATGAAGCTCGTATCACCACTCTTGACTGGGGAATGGGCCTTCGGAGGCAGTCACCAACTGACCCCTAGCCTGGTCAATTGCCTACAAACCACGCAGACAGTAAGGGTAGAAGTGCGTGGGGTACACCGTCTTACCATTTTGGCAGGAGGACAATGAGTGGAAGGTGCGGCTGGCCTTATCGAAATAACCGTGACTGGACAGTCGATACCGTCTCTGTGAAGGATGTGAGGGTAGATATCCGGAGCTTTGGGGCATTCTTTGTTAGTAGGTGTACATTGCCTCTTGTGTATACTGTTTTCATGGACATGTGTCCAAGTGGAAACCATTCTAATGGTGGGTGACGTCTAACCGACCTGGGATACCGGAGAAAAGCTGAAATAACCGGAAACAGTCACATTTTATCCAGTATTTATCTATTTTCAGTACGGCTTTCTAGAAACCTTAGGCCCAAGATATTAACCTTTGTATGCACATAAGCAAACTTAAATCTATTTTCCACCATATTCTAGCGGTACCCGACGGTTTCGATGGATGCGGAAAGCAGAAGCAACAGTATGGTCAAGAAATTTATTCAGCAATAAAAAGCCATGAAACCCGAAGTGTTGGATACTCATTGTCAGATACAACGCACATAAAAATTACATCGGTGTTTTCATGACATGGAGATAGAATCCATAATTGTAAATAGGTTCCAGATATCCTGCTTCATATTAGAACATTCCGGAGGAAGTCATGAATGTGTCTACATCAGTGCTCTCTACTGCTTCCAAAGTATAGAATAAAGTCTTTAAACATCTTTTCAAGCTTTCATAGTGTTATATATTCCGAACGGATATATTACGCACGCTTAACTGACAGCTAACTTAGTACTCAAGAGGCACCAACTACAACCTGGGGCGAATAGGAAGAAGACCGAAGCTGGATGATGGGAGAGTTTATTCCTCCGAGAATATAATCATGAGATCAATCCCAAAACACATGAATAAGTACACACATGAAAAATGACCTTGTCCTCAATTTGAGACACAGGCGATTTACATTACAATGAGGGTCGAAAACAGACTACTAGTCATACCATAAAAAGTGGTATGGGAATGACACGTAAAATTGTTCAGGTCAATAACAATGTTTTATACAAACTGTGGCCTTACAACATAGTAATGATGGCATCCAGGCCTCAGGTTTCATCCTTTCTAGGACTCATCGTCCTTTTTAGGACCTGTCATCTGGATGAACCTGCACTCCAGTGAGTGATGTTGTTCGCACTGAGACTCAAACCCAGTACTCATTGCTTCGAAAATCAACGGAGAATTACAAGTATATCAACAAATAACAATCATTAATACCCGTTGTACAAGAGACAGTTATCGTGCCTCAGTGGCCTATTGGATAATGCCTCGGGTTCGAAGCGATGGATATGAGGTTCAAGTCTCAGTGAGAACAACATCATTCACTGGGGTGCAGTTACATCCAGCTGACGAGTTCCAAACAGGACGAAACGTGCATTACGGATTCCACTGCTAGCCGCAACCAAATTGGTTGTAGCAATGAACATCCATACGATTTCGGGGCATCTGCATAGTAATTAGCCCATCTACAAACACAAGTCGATCAATTCGACCCAGTACAATAACGAGCAATCGGAAGTATATCCATCAACGTCAGGAATAGTCGTATTGCTTCCAATCTAATCAACTCGTTGCCAACTGACATTCTAATTCACGTCAGATGTCAACGCCTTTTGATTACGTAAATATGATTTCACACACATTCACCTATGTTAACAATTTATAAGATAATGGATTTCGTTAGGTAGTGTTAGACATTTCAACAGTCATGTTACCACAGGTTTGGGTACCAGTCAATATAAATGTAGACTTTGGATTACATATAGATAATCTGTGTTTTATTTTCATAAAAATTAATTCATCACCAATGCTGTGTATCATCAGGCGATCAGAAATCAACTGTGATCGCGTGATATCATGTTAGCGTTACAATGAAATTTCAACCACCTATCTATCGTTCGACTCTCTGAAGCAAACTGAATTATTCATTTAGACAGACAGGTTACAATACTACTCGAATAAGGAATATCAACCCAAAGGGGGGCTAAACTTTAGTGTGTTATCCGAGAAACCTGATGATCCTGGGTCCGAACCCTGGTGGGGTTACTAGCACGCACTACTGAAATGCCTCAAAATAGGAAGAAATAGCTGCCTAGTGCTCTAAACTTTTCCATAGTTTCTGTGTTAAATAATCCTCGTTTTCTTTACATGATCGATTACATTGATTTATTGGTTTTTGTAGATAAGAGTGACAATCAAATGGGAACTAAGCGATGAAGAAGGCAATGATTAGTTTGTGTTGAGTTTCCGATTCAAATAATATGAATGCAATTTACTTCTCCCATTTCTTGTCGGTTGTTATTCATCAAAATTTCATGTGACTAGATTTTGAGCTTAATAATTAGACTGTTGGGTTTGTGTATTATTTTCCATTAATGGGTTTTAACAAATATATATTTTTCGAAAGTGGTTTTATTACCAATCTGTTTGATAGGTATCCTGGAGACAGATAGTTTAAACAATGTGGTTAACGTATTTGAGAGCTTTATCGTCATATTTTTTAGCCTGCTTGGTTTCATTGCCATTTTTCGGAACATTCTTAGGGAGTTAACCTCAAAAGTGTGGTTGCATAGTTCCATGTCTTGGCAACCTTGAGTTTGATTGGTCCGTCTAGCAGCTGAGATGTGATTGGCTAGTTGTGTTGTTTTTAATAAACTGAAAGGGGTGGAGTTACTTTTGACGTAAATATCAACAATTCACGTTTAGGTTTGTGAGAATGAAGCAGACTTTAACCAAGGTAAAACTCTTCCAAATAATATTCGTGTGTTTTCAAAAATGTGTGTAATACACACAACCTACTGTGCCATAGCACATGAGTTGTATGTACAAAGTACAGCTGCTTATCGATTGTGCACACAGATGAGCAAATTAGCTATGAACGGGATTTTACGTTACTTACCACGGATTCTAACTTAACCTATGTCTACAGACGGTTCCTATCAATTTTTCTTTTTAAAAGTAGAATTTAGCAGAGACTAGGACCAACTGGAGAAGTATTTAGAAACTCAAAACTCCGGACAGTTGTTTTGCCTATAATACACACTCACAAAGTCTACGTGAGATTTAGCTGACGATCGTCAATCCAGTCGTCCTAATATTCCTACTTTTGCCAATATGTGATAGAGCGTAACCATTATCCAACGTCATTCAAGGAATTTTGCATGAACCAATATCGAAGGAATGCTGGGTTGAGGTAACCGAAGGAATAAGTAGCTCCAAACTGGGTCGATAATTCGACAAAGCAGCTATCCCGCCGACATCCGTCGGTTGAGAAACCACTGAAAACCCTGGAGTATTAGAAAGATATTTCGTCTGAGCTCAGTGCCTCTTAATTGTGTACATTAAACTCGGAGGAAATATCTGTCCTGTGCTCCTAGAAATTCGCTGTCTCTCTATCTGATATCAATACGTAATGAAAAATTATTTCAAATCAAAGACTTCCAACAAATCACTGGTTATTTTCATGTGTGCGACTGACGAGTCTTCAAAGTATAAATGAAATGTTGGTCAGCTGACTAAATTCATCCTTAGTTTTTGAAAGAAGCTTCGTCTACATCGACTGGTCAGTAGAAAGCGACGATTTCCTGTTGTCTGGTCCTCAATGTTGATAGAATTCCATCGATCATTGTGCAATGTGACCACCAACCTAGAAGGCACACCATCATGGTGGACTTTTGATGGGTGTTAGGTGGCTGAAGAAAATCGATGGTAATTCGCGCCTCACCTAGTTTTCGTGCTTACTGACACTTATAAGCATGGTGTATTCGTAGTGTAGAGGGAAGTTATGTCCCTTGTGAGAGATTTGCGCCGGTGTCACCCAGTATTGTAGTCAGTGACTATACCATTGAGCTGGGACTTTAATCCCGTTAGCCACGATGATAATAAATGTCCTACGTCAGATAACTTCTAAGTATATGTGTAAAGCCTACGTTTTCCAATTCTCATTGAGCCGTTTAAAGCATTCAAAGATTCCTTTCAAGTTTTACTGTTTAGACTGATATAACTGTGTTTGGTCCACTTCAATCTCCTTGCTGGTTTTAAAGAGAAGGAAGATACTGTCATATACCCTGCATCCATAGCACATCAACTGTCAGTGAAGCGTCATGATATATCTTCTCTCATGTCAATTCATACAGACAATTGTGGACATGAAATCGACTGGGAAAGTGAGCAGATCCTGAATGGAAGAAATACAATGAATGGCATGGAATCCTAACAAGCTCAACACTCAAACCAGTCAACGATCAATACGCATATTGCCACTGGCCCAACCAATCTACCAATAAGAAACACGAAGAGCAGTCAGAAGGTTAGAGTCCAGGCCATCAAGACAGCCAAAATAACTAGACTTACAGGCAGACAATGACTAGTTACATAGAGCAGGAACAACCAGTCACACTCTAGGTCATTAGAACAAGGTACTAAACTACTTGTTGCTATCTGGTAGGTTAGTTCTCTCTGAAGTTTCTGCTGCTTATATTGTATAGGATGATAATAAGGAAGCTTCATGAATGAGTCATCCAGCTCAGAGAACACAATATCACCAAAATAACACTTTACTCATGAACAATTCATAACAGAATATGTGCCTGATAGACTTTGAACTACCTTTTGTGTTCTGGACTGAATATTTCTTTAGAGAATTGAGCTTGGACACGTAAGTAACAATGGAAAACTTTGTGAGTGACTTCAACTTCTTTAAGCATTTATATACTTTCTGTTTGTTTCCCACAAAAATAAACTTGGTTGAACTAAACTTCATTATACTATTATTATTTCTCCCTCGGGTTCCTAATGGAACATACGGCTTCAGTAGCACGTCTCCATTCCACTCTCTTCTCTGAAATCTTTCAAACCTGGCTCCACAACTGCCCACAAGCTCTCATTTACTCCTCGCACCATCTCACCCATATCACCCTTGTCTCGGACACCAAACTCGTAACTTCCCATGGCGGTTCCACTCAACTACATAGTCTGGAGTGTGATGTCCACAGTCGGACTTCTCAGTGTATACCCAATCCATCTCCACTTCCCTCCAATGCATATTTGTTGAGTGATAGGTTGTTCTCGGTTGGTTCGTTCCCACAGCTCCTTGTTGCTTATTCTCATTATTCTGGCCATCTGAGCTTCAGTGTCAGTATCGAGCCAGAGTTGATGAATGTCTGCAGCTTGTTGGAAATCCCTTTCGTAACGCTCCAAGTCTCTGAAGCATTCAGGAGCACTGACTTGACTGACGTTGGTGTTGAAAATCTGGATGTTGTTCCACATGCTGAGTGGAGTGCAGAAGATCTCCACACTGGTTTCAGGTTAATGAACACCTGTATTGCTTTTCCGATTCAGACTTTGACATCCTCGTCTGTGCCACCACCACCTGTAATTGAGACCGTGCCATATAGATAGGTGAAGGAGGCTACTTCCTTTAAGTTCCTCGCGTTGATGGTGATTCGAGTTTGTTGTTGTTGTTGGTGGTGGTGGTGGTAGTGGTGTTGGTTGGGTATCTTCATCACCTCTGTCTTCTCTATGTTCACATGAAGTCTCGTCTTCGCTGCCCTGCCTCTTCTGTCAACTTGTTAGTTTTCGCCTGTACTTCTTCCAGTTTGTGCGACAAGACATTAGACACAAGTCATCGACAAAATCCAAATATCCTAGGATCCTTTCCCCGGTCCACTGTATGGCCCCCTTCTCGCTCCTCACTGTTTCTTGCAGTCGACCAGTCGACCACAATCAGGAATATCATGGATGATAGTATACAGCCTGCTTCATTCCTGTCTCATGTCTTCACTTCAAAAGCATCACTGAGCTTCCCATTGTGAATTACTTGGCCGGCATGTGGCGTCTTCATTTAGTTGTTGAATGAGGTTGATAAAGGTTTGTGGTATTCCGTAGTATTGAAGCAGTTTCCAAATTACCTCTCGGTCGACGCTGTCAAAGGCCTTCTCAAAGTCGATGGAGTTGAGGTGGAGTTGAGTTGAGTTGAGTTGACTGCCATTCTATACTGTGTTCTATGATGATGTGTAGTGTAGAGTTGCAATTCGGTCCATCCATGATTTCTTCTTCCTGAATCCAGCCAGCCAGCCTGTTCCAGTCTTAGTTTTGAATCCAGTGCATCCTTCAGCCTCTCCAGGATGATGCGGCTTAATATTTTGCTTGCATTGGGTGGACAGGAGAGTGATTCAGCACCAGTTCTTCAAAAACACTGAGGTCTCCCTTCTTCGGCAGTTTCACAAGGTGTCCCTTCCTCCAATCAATGGCCAGGTACCTTCTCTTCCTTCAAAACCCTCTGCAATAGTAATGTCAGCATGTCCGCTGTTGTCCCTGAGTCTGTTCTCAGTGCTTCTGGTGGGATTCCATCTGGTCCTGCTGCTTTCCCGCATTTCAGTGGCTTTATGGCGTTCAGGACTTCCATTTATGTTCGAGGATTTATGTTCACTTGTAGTTCTGTGACTGGGCTGTAGGTGGTATTTCTGGACGAAGTGCAGGTGGTGGTGGTGGTCGATTCAAGAGCTTCTTGAAGTGGTCAGCCCATCGTTTCCCCTGTTCCTCTTCTCCTCTCTGGTAATTAGATTTCATTCATCATATTTTATTGGTTTCATCTGTGTTGATCTCTTCCCTTCCAGATAGTGAGTAACATGGTTATTTGATATAATGTTGTCAGGTCTCCTCCATCTCTCCTACCTGCAGCCTGTTCTGCTTCACTTGACAGTGTGTCGTAGAAGTGTCTTTCGTTATTCAGTGTAGTGTTTCATGTATTGTACTCAGTTCATCTTCTCGTCGTTCATCCTTGCTCTGGACTGGTTTATCTTCTGCTTCACCATCCTCCTCTCCCTGCCCTATCAGCTTCCATATGTCCGTCGAGATCCATTCCATTCCTTATCTTCTTTCCTTCCTAATACGATTATGCAGGTTTCTTTCCACATCTGTTTCAAAAAGTTCCACTGCCCATTCACAATGGTTTCTTCAGGGATGTTGATCGATATCTCCCATTTTGTCTTGATGGCTGACGTGAAGATGTCCCTTGCAGTTTCGTCCTTCGATTTCTGGGTGTTGTACTTGAACTGCGGTCTATCACCAACTTCCTTGAAGCTTTTTACTTGATTTGGAAGGTTCCTTGCACTAGATAGTGGTGTGAACCTACATCTCCTCCTCTTCTACATCTGATCTTGTGTCCAGTCGACTGACTACCTCTCCACTTTCTTCACAGTGTGATCAAGTCGATCTGATTCTCAGTGTGGT